CCAGAAAGTCAAAGCCGAAGCCGAGGGCGACGCCGCCGAAGGCGGAGGCCGGCGGGCCGAGGAGGATGACGAGGCGCGCCTGTGGGAGTGTGGCATCTTCGTGTGAATGCGGAGTGTTAAGGGGAGGGTGGGTGGGTGGGTGGGTGGGGGGAGCGTTCAGGGGGGGGGGGGGGGTGTTAAGGGGGGGGGGGAGGGGGCAGGGGCGGAGGGGGGCGGACGAAGGCGGCACCATCTTCGAGGCGAAGAAGTAGGCGATGGCGCCGTAGAGGAGCAGGAACGTGTTCGCGTCGGTGAGTCGGAGGAGAGAGAGGGCGAAGCCGCAGGGGACCAGCGGGTAGACCTGCGACAGGAAGTCGTTCCGCCTTAGTGATTCGTTGACTCATTCGCCGCAGAAGAACGAGCGGGGAGACCTACGATCAAGACGACTCCGCCTCACCGCCGACTGAGCGACGGGCGGACCGCCAGCGGATTTGAGGGGAGGGGCGGGTAGACGTTTTGCAGGTACTGCCGGTACATCATCGTCGAGCCCGGCTGGTGCTCCGCCACCGAGTCGACCTTAGGGAGTGAACAGTCAGACACGAGTGAGGTGCCGGCGAGGAACGGCTCTGCTGCTCCGCCACGGAGCGGGTACCAGCGGGTTGCCCGTGCGCGTGTGCTTGAGGAAGAGGCCGCGCACACGCGACGAGAGCGGGCCGAAGTAGCCGGTCGGGAGGATGGCGGCGGTGGCCACAACGAGCAGAGCAGCGGCGGGCATCGCCAGCTGCACCCGCCGCTTCCACACCTGAGAGGCAAGGGTGTGGCATTTGTGAGGAACGAGTACGACTACCATCACACCTGGGCGGGCGTGAGGTCTGGGGAGGTGTGGGGAGGTGTGGGGAGGTGTGGGGAGAGATGGGGAGGTCACACCTGGGCGGGGGTGAGGTGTGGGGAGGTCTGGGGAGGTCTGGGGAGATATGGGGAGGTCACACCTGGGCGGGGGTGAGGTCTGGGGAGGTGTGGGGAGGTGTGGGGAGAGATAGGGAGGTCACACCTGGGCGGGGGTGAGGCGCTTCTTGCGCCTCTCGACCTCGACGGCCTCGAGCAGCTGCACGCCTAATCTCGGGCAATCTCGGGTAATCTCGGGCAATCTCGGGTAATCTCGGGCAATCTCGGGCAATCTCGGGCAATCTCGGGTGATCTCGCCCAGGAAGACGAGGAGCGGCAGCATCTGCTCGAGCGACCGCAGCGGCGCGAGCCTGCAGTGTGTGCGCAGCGAGTGGGCACACGGCGGCGGTTGTGGTGGTGGTGGTGCGGCCCGGCTGCCTGTCTGTTCTCGACTGGCTTGTGTGCAGTGATCTTGGGGGTCCGGAGCTGCGCCTCTGTTTGAGGGTGAGGGTCGGGTTAGGGTGTGAGGCTCAGGCTGCCTCTCTGTTCTCGACTGGCGCGAGACGGTCTGGGCCCGCCTTCCCTGGGAATGCCCGTGTTGCGTGCCAGACTGCCACTGTGCGATGTCGGGGCCCGGGACTGGGCCGGGGTTGTGTGTGTATGTGGCGAGGACACGCGCCCGTCCGGGGATGTGCAATGTGTGTACTTGGACACGCAGTGAGCACGAGGACGGGTCAATACAGCCGAGGGCAGCGGAAGGCGGCCGAATGCCGCCGGGGGCGACTCCGCTCGAGCGCGGCTTGGAGGACAGCAAATGCGGCGTCCGCGTCTAGCGGCGCGAGAGATCTGGGAGATACGGGGAGATACGGGGAGATCTGGGGAGATCTGGGGAGATCTGGGGAGATGTTCCGCGTCTAGCGGCGCGTGCCCGACCGGAGGCACCCGAGTGGCGCCCGCAGTGCCGATGACGTAGAAAAGCGAGTAGGCGCGGTGGAGCTTGGAGGAGTAGCGGCCGCCTGATTAGTGAATGAGTGGGTGAATTCGTAGTCCCCCATTCGTTCATTAGTCAGCAGCTTGGAGCAGCAGCGGCCGCCTAGTTGATTCGCAGCTCCTCACTCAATCGACGACCAGCCGCGTGCAGCTTGGGAGGAGCAGAGGCCCGCCAGCGGCGAGAGCGGCGGCGTGCGCCCCAATCCTAGAAGCAGAACACGCCAACCTCAGGGCGGGGGGGCGGTGTTGTGCAGCGGCTTCAGAGCACCGCGTGACTACGGCGGAATACGCGTGAGTGCAGCGGAATACGTGGTCCTCTCGGGCGCTGGTTGGGAGACAGGGACACACGTCTTCTGCTTCTAGGGCCCCAATCATGTTGACCACAAACACGTACCCGCCCCACGCCGAAACCTAGCAGTAATAATAGGTACTAAATACTCATACAGTCTATTTATGATTAGGACCCGCGCCACGCCGAAACCTAGCAGTAATATGAGACGGGCTGTTAGCCAGCCGGCCACAAGAGGCACGCGCACCCTCCCTCCCCACGCCGCCACCATGTAGACGTAGGCGAGGCCGCACAAGAGGCCGAACGCGTAGCTGTCCGCAGTCGCCTCGCCGTCGCGTGCGGTCGGCCGGTCCCGCAGCGCGCGCACCCAGCAGTAGAAGGTTGCGACGAGGGCGGTGGTGGCGACGGACTCGTTGTCGAATCCACCTGAGGATTGGTGACGACTCGTTGACAGCGGATAGCTGCGGTGGTCGCGACGCGAGGGTCTAGCCCGCCCGCGACGGAGCGCATGATGTGCGCTGGCACGATGGCCATGATGAGGGCGGCGAAAGCGCCGGCGCTCTTGCGGCCAGAGCACTCCGCCGCGAAGAGCCCGACCAGAATCGAGGCGGAGACGCCGAACCACGCAGGCACCAGGCAGCAGACCTAGAAGAAGAAATCGCGGGGCGTGCGGCGCGTGAGTTTCTTTTTTAGGGCCGAACCACGCAGAGACGAGGCAGCAGACGTCGTTCAGCGAGATGGCGGAGCCGAGCTTGCCGAGCGCGCGCCAGATGGCGACGGCGGTGATCTGCATGCCTGGGTAGATCGTCGTGCCGACGGGGCGCCCGAGGGGGTACCACGACATGTAGTCGAACCAGTGGAAGAAGGCGTGCCAGCCGTTGGCGGCGAGGTACTCGGTCGCGCGATAGTTGAACCACGGGTCAAACTCGTGGATGACATAGCCGTAGTCGCGGATGGCGTACATGCGGATGTCGTAGGCCTGCTGCGCCACCACGCCCATCGCGGCGATGAAGACGCACAGCCCAGCGGTCGCCTTGGCGCCGGCCGGCAGCCGCTTCGTCGGCGGCGGCGCGGCGGGCGTGGGCGCGGCGGCGGAGCCGCCTTTGGGCTTTGCCATCGCTCTGCAGGCGGGAGGGCGGCGGCGGTGAGCGTGCGGGCAGGGCTCTGCTGGCAGAGAGCAGCGGTGGTGGAGAGGCGCTGATGGGGCACCCAACGATGAGTCAGAGGCGGGGAAAAAAGAAAAACGCGGGACACACATCTCACGCAAAGGAAATGTACAAACTCGGCCAGACTCACTATGCATATCTCACTTAAGGAATTTACAGATTCGCTTATCGCATGATGGCTTCGACCATCAATCTTGATTGAGTCTTGAGAAGGGAAAGACCCCGGCGGCGGCTCTCGAGGGCGGCCCGGCGAATGAGCGGAATGACGTCTGGGCTGCACTGCACATGACTTAAATCCCCAGCCAGAGCTCGTCCAGGAGGTGCGCTGAGAGTGGCAGAGCGCTCAGAGCGAAAGGTCCTCACTTCAAGTGCTCACAAAGGAGGTCCTCACATCGGAGAGGTCCTCAAGAGGTCCTCACATGCGTGGAGGGGAGCGGGGAATTTTGCCCACCAAAGAGAGGCGGGCGCCGCACCACGATGAGTCAGAGCCCTGAAAAAGAAATCTGCGCACGCCGTACTGTTCTTTACCTCTAAAATCCCTGCGTGGTGGCGGCGTGCCATCCCTCCCTCCCTTGGTTCTCTCTTTTCTTTCTTTCTTTCATGGACCACCAAGAGTTTGGCACGGGCTGCAGATGCAGCGACTGTCTGCCGTTCTCCACACCGCAGTGGCGTGGCGGGCGGTGAACGAGCTAGCGTGCGGGGAGAGCGGCATTGTGCACGGAGCTAAGTGCATTGGAATTGCTTCTTAACGGAGTCGCTTAGGCGGCTCCAGGTGCTGCGCCTGCACAGCACCTTGTGCAGTGGCAATGACTCCCGGCACTAGTGAGCTTGATGTCCTCAAATGTCCACAGAGTAAACTGGTTGTGCTCACAGGTTGTGCTACATCAACAGGGGTGCAACTTTGAGAGGCTGCAACTAAGGGATGAAACAGCTTTGCAGCTGCGGCCCAAATTTTGTTATGGGCTGCAACTGCATCCTGCCACCTTGGATACCTCGACACCTTAGACGCTAAACACCTCTTGACAACACTCGACACCCGCTCGACACGCTCGACACGCTCGACACCCTCGACACCCTCGACACCACTCCTCGACACCTCGACACGGACAAGCATGGTCCCAGCCTAGACAGGCCTCGACAGGCCTCGACAGGCCTCGACAGGCCTCGACAGGCCTCGACACCTCTATCCCTCAACAGCAGCTCGACACCCTCGACACCGGGCCTCGACACCTCGACACCAGGGCTCAGCAAAGGAGGTCCTCACATCGGAGAGGTCCTCAAGAGGTCCTCACATGCGTGGAGCGGGGAATTTTGCCCACCAAAGAGAGGCGGACCGGAGAGAATGTGGGGCTCAGTCGCGGGAGGGAAGCTAGCGGCCTCAGTTTAAGAGGCTGCCAACAAAGATGATTATTTTTTCGCGCGTTTTTTTTATCGAAGGCTCGAAGTCTGCCCGCGCTGCAAGGCCGCCAGCAGCTTCGAGACAGCGCGCAGCGCGCGCCACCGCCGGACGTCACACCCGCGCGCGCTCTCTCGCTGCGGAGGGGGCGGGAGGCGGCCGCGCAGGGCAGCAGCATGGCACCGGACCTGATGGAGACGGAAGACTGTGAGCGCAGCGCCCGCCTCTGCGCAGCCCGGGAGAGATGCTGCACTGTCCCCTGCCGCCAGAGCGCCGCGCTCGGAATGCCTTGCGCTGCTCGCCGCTGGCCCGCAGCCAGCGCCGCGCCAGCGACGCGCTCCGCTTCCCAAGGCACGGCTCTGAGGGCCAGCGCGCGCGGCGCGCAGGTTGCCCGCTTTGCATGGAGGACCTCGACATCACCGAGCGCAACTTTTGGCCTTGCAAGTGTG